CATCACACTTGTGGTAATATTATTAAAAATATGGTGGTACACGTGGCCTGAAGATGAAGTTTAACGTGTACCACCGGTGGTACACATGGCACGGAACGTGTTAAGAAAGTGAAAAATTTCGCGAATGTGTTAATATATTCTTCTAGGAGCTTCGAAATTGCTCGAGGGAAATGAGCCTACCTGCTGCCCCGGAGTTGGAAGAGGCTTGCGAACTGCTAAACGCGCCAGAGAATGCACCAGCGAAGGGACTACTCCCGCCATCGAGTTTGTCACTCGCGAGTCCTCCCAAATTCCCGATTCCAACACCTCCGCCGCTTCCGGAGCCGCGAGGTGCCGCCGATGGAGCCCAACTCGAGGCAGGATAACGTTGTTGGGTTTTATCGCCGAGGAAAGGATTCACGTCGCCTGGGCTCCAAGATGCGGATCCTCCAACTGTTGAATCAGGAAGGTTACCGATATCGATGTCTCCCCTTCCGTGGCCCGATCCACCGATGAAAGGATTGTCTGCGCCGATGAGAGGCTTGCTCGTCTCTCCTCCGATCGAAACGACACTTTTACCAGCTGGATTGGATGCTGTTGCCGTACCGACGTTGCTCCAAGCTCCTGCGACTGCACCGGCGATTCCTTGTTGCAGGAACGGATTTCCAAGGCCGATCGGTTTGCTAGTAGTTGTAGCCGCGAACTGGCCAACTGAAACGGAGACGTTCTTTATCAAATACTGGCGTAAGTTTTTTTTCCTAAGTTAGTTACGAGCATCTGTCGTATCATTTTCAATTTCAGTATCAAAATTAATTGCAAACACGAACGAAGAGAAGTATAAATTTTCCTCGTTAATTACCAACATCTATTAAGTTATTTTCATATCAAATTACAAATACGAGAAGTGTGGATTTTCTCGTTATTAATATATTTTATTTTCGTATCAAATTAGTTGCAAATACGAACGAAGAGAGACGTAAGTTTTTCTCGTTAATTTCCAACATCTATTAAGTTATTTTGACATCAAATTGCAAACACGAACGAAGAGAAGTATAAATTTTTCTCGTTAATTACCAACACCTATTAAGTTATTTTTGTATCAAATTACAAATACGAGAAGTGTGGATTTTCTCGTTATTAAGATATATTAATTATCGGCATTTATTAGGTTATTTTGGTATCAAATTAGTTGAAAAATACGAAGAAAAAGTAGCGTAAGTCCTTTCGTTAATTACCACTCGTTTCTGCTAGGTTAGGAATTTTCCCATTCAAAAAAGGATTCGATGAGTACGATCCTTCTCCAGGAATTTTATTGTCAACGTATGCCGGTCTGACTGAAGGAGATCTGCAATCGCTGGTTCCAGATGTACAATCCCGTGAACCGCCTCCACCTCCCACGGGAAATCCGTCGAACGGTTGGCTTGCACCAGGAATGTTTTGCTGAGGATTTTGCGAAGAATCAGTTGGATACGCTTGGAAACCTCCTACTGGACCAGAAGTCTTGTTAACCCCCGCTGGAAAACCGAGTTGACCACAGGGCTTGTAACCCGGTGAGCCATTCAGATTTGTTCCACCGCTGCATCCACTTGCAGCTCCGCAATCTCCAGCACCACGTGTGCAACCGACATTTGTATCTTTTGATGGAAATTGGTAAGGAGACTTTGTCGTTCCGGTACCATCGTAAGGAGTTGGCTGATAAGAAGGCTTTGTTGTACTAGGGCCACCATAAGGAGCAGGCTGATAGGAAGGTTTCATTATTCCAGGACCCTCATATGGAGCAGGTTGATAGGAAGGTTTTGTTGTACCAGGACCACTGTAAGGAGTTGGCTGATAAGAAGGCTTTGTTGTACCAGGGCCACCATAAGGAGCAGGCTGATAGGAAGGTTTCACTATTCCAGGACCCTCATATGGAGCAGGTTGATAGGAAGGTTTTGTTGTGACA